CATTTATCAACCAAAGCATGGTAACATATATATATATTTATGTTGCAATAGGGGGAAAAACAGAGAGACTATACTTTCATCCCTTCAAGCTCATTTCTTGGAAACAGGCTTGTAAGGATGAAAGTATAGTCTCTCTGTTTTTTTCCCCCTATTACAACATATATCATGCTCTACTTCTATGTATTGAGCACTGTAAAACAGAATAATCAATACACAGACTTCCTATTTCTCTCTCTCACTAGATATATGTAGTTATGTATATATATTTATGTCTGATGAGCGCTTAGGTGCAAAACTCAGAGTCAGAGAGAAAATCAATGAGTTCTCTTAATTCTTTGACTTATGTATACTTAGCTCTGCTACCACAGCATTGAGCACTTTATGCCAAGGTAGACTCTACCTCACATTCATTTATATATTTATGTATATATATGTATTTATGTATATATATGTATATATGTATATATACACATAATATATATATATATAGTGAGAGGAAAAAGACAAATAAACTACCAGTTCATCCCTACAGACCTGTTTCTTGGTTGCCCACTCATCAGGGGATTTAATGAGAATAATCTTTACCATCACTTATATACAATATAATCTAATTTATGTAGCGCGAAATTTAACAGTTTAGTTGTTGCGTAGGAGGGCGTTTCTGTGGCGGCAGGAAGACACGAGTTCATTACATTTGTTTAGTGTTGATAGTTTGGGTCGGCAGATGATTAGGAATTTTTCTTTGATGCAGAGATTACATCTTTTACTTGAGCTGTTGTACGGCGAGTGTGATGAGAGAATGCGCCTGGAAATAAAGTGTTCGATGTTGTTGTCTTTGAGGGTCCAGATGTGCTTGCTGAGTTCGGTGGAGTTTCTGTGTCTAGCATGGCGGAATGATGCGGTGTGGTTTCTGTATCTTGTTTTGAAGTCGTTCTCTTTGAGTCCGATGTACGTTTCTGTCGTGTTGTTGTCTTTGCGTGTGGTGTGTCTTGGTAAATTACTAATGGTTGCATTTGGCCGTCGAGCGGGCATGCGTTCTTTTGTCAGCAGTTGCATGTCTTGTTATATGTATATATACACATAATATATATATAGATATAGCTCTTTGGCATACAAAGCTTTGCTTTCATGTCCAAATTGAGCACTCTACTAGGATGAGTCATTGCTGCTAGCATTATGCATGCTCACTAGTTTTTCTAGTTTGAGCACTCTGGCATGGCTTAGATGATCCCACATATGTGAGATCACTTGAGGTGGCTATATAGTCTTTCCTCCATCCTAGCATCAGCTCTGCACTGATGAGGCCCAGAAGGCCGAAACAGTACTGTCTGCAGTTAGTTATATATATATATATATAATATTTGAAGCAGTTCTATACTTATCTGAATTGGAACCCCAAATAACCTAGAACATAACTAAATTGCTGACAACAGAATAGCTTTGTAAAAAGAGCCTCAAAGTAACTGAGACTAAGAAATTATCAAAATAAATGTTGCACTAGCGGCCAAATCTGTCAGGAATGTGCAATCTGTGCTAACACTCATAAAATTCACTTCAGGACGCTGCTCACTTAGCTACGTATCAGTGAATAATTTTCAAAAGTTGTTGAAAAGGAAACATTTTGAACTTGTCGACCTTGACTGGACAAAAGATGCAAATTGCTCAATTTGATTAAGAGACAAGGTCTACTTTGTATGCCCCGTTCCAGATCTATTTTCGGAGTAATGCGCGTTTATTGCTAAATAGACCTCTAAGAGAGCTCTGGTAACTGATCCATGTGTTAAAAGGGGGGATGGACGCCATTGAGTCTTCAGAACATCGTGTAATGTTTTATCCCCCTACCCACTGGGTATGAGAAAGAAATGCCCAGTCTAAATTTGTTGTCTCTAATCAACGTAGTATTTGGCAACAAGCGTAATAATATAACTAACTGCGACTGTGTTCTAACTTGCAGCCATAGTACCGACGTACGGGCCAAGTTTGACGCTAACAACCTGGCTTATACCACAGACGGCATTCCTCTTCATGGTGACCTGCCTTATTTGGACTATCAGCCCGGGGTAAGTAAATCAAGGGAAAAAGGGAATAACATGTAAATTTATGACATCTGTTTATTCCAGGCAATTATGTCCAGCCCCAATCTGCTTTTGGGAGGCCAAAAGCTTTATAAAAATCTAAGTTAAAACGTCTTCATTTTAAACTCACTAGAAGCTTCGATTTATCACTTGAACCTTATTGCACTCGTCAAATTTGAACTTTTTTTCGGTTAAACGTGAGAGGGAAAGCTACATTTTGCTTTTTTCTTTAAGGTACAACTTCTTCACTGTATCGAGCAGGTGTCGAGCGAAGGTGGCGTTAATCAGTTTTCCGACGGATTTCACGCTGCAAAGACACTGAAAGAAATTGACCCAGAGTCTTTCAAGCTGTTGTCTACCACTCCAATTCAATTCAGGGACCGTGGCAAGGACGTGTTTGGTGATTTTCACATGAAATCCTCTCATGCCACAATAGAGTGAGTTTGCTGTTGAAATGGCTCGGATCCACCTTAAATAGGTGTAGAAAGTAGGGTGGCTCCGAAGCCCTCTGAATTATCGATTATGTCTTCAAAAATAAAACTTAGGGGCTACGGAACTGGTGTCACTGAACGATAATGCCTTTGTGACCTGAACAAGATTCCGGAAGAGGCCGTCCTTTCAAAAGAAGAAGCGGAGGGGCTGTGTTTGTTTTCATCACTAACAGGAACACTAAACTTAAAAATAACACTGAAACTCTTATTGTGTCCTCAATGCGACGACTACACAGTAAACAATACAAAAGAATGACATTTTATCGAAAGCTGGGGTAACTCCAAAACAAAATCAAGGTCGACGTTCAAAAAGTACGATATTTCTTCTTCAGTATCACAATTTTTTTCCTTTTTTTTTTGCTTTTCTCAGTTTTTGATTTGTCTCCTGTTTCAACCTTCTATGTGGCCCATATTTACAAGAAAGACGCTTTTGTTGCAGGTTGGATGACAATGGCAAATTGAGCGGACTCGCTTTAAACGATACTGCACGCGACTCCTTCATGAATCTTCCCCCGGAGAAAGCTGTGGAACTGTACGAAGCTTACCTCAAGTATGGTCGAATTCTCAGAGGTCCGATCAATCAAATAGAATATAAAATGGTGCCTGGTGATGTGATATCGTTCAACAACAAGCGCGTATTTCACGGTAGATCCGCCTTCCAACTCACCGAGACATCAGGCCGCTTCCTTGAGTTAGTTTACATGGACTGGGATACGATTAATTCAAAGCTGAGAGTTCTTACCAAACACTTTAATATACCATTCGGATTGTAAAAAAATTATATATAGTATATAGTAGCATATAGCAGTTAGTAGATTGTCGAATTGTAGAGAACACCTCCTTCTTCCCTTGATAAGTGGTATTTCTTGCGAGGCTTTCAAAAGCTATGGCACCTTGTACCAAATTTCGAACGTTACTCGGTAAACTATTTGATGCTAAAAATAGAAATTTATTGAGCATCTTTTTTTTCACGCTCAATACTCTTGACATTGCTTATCTCTGGAATTTCGAGGACACTTGTCACAGGTCTAGTTCATGAGTTGGCTCATTGGTAGTAACGTAGAATTTAGTGCAAAGTAAATGCTCGCTGGTTGTTAATAGGATAAAAGGATGGTAAGAACCCTTATTACTTAATTTTACTTAAGCGCCCCTTTTATACATAGAGTTTCGAACATCAAAGAACGTACTCTTCCGTAAACATTGAAATAATTGAATAGGAACTAACAGATATAGATAGGTGAAAACTTGAAAAGCGTTTCTTCAATGGTGAAGATTTGCAGAAGCGTTGAAGCCTTGTAAAAAAGAGTAGAAAAAGATCCCCAACTTCCTCGCTGACCTGTAATTCATAAAAAGGAAAAAATTACCATGCAGTACATACCTGACTCAAAACCTAGCTTTATGGACCACGGGAGATCCAAGCAGTATTGTTTACAAATTAACTTTCAACATGAAAATTTCTGTGGCCTGCAGAGGAAGGTTGTCGATTGCACACAAAAACCTGTCTTTTCGAAGAATCGACATCGCTGATCAAACTCTGAGCTTTGGAATTGTAACTTCTCAGCATTGCAACTGTCATATGGTGGGTCCTTTGTTTAGAAGACAGGAAAATAAAGAGAAAGATAACTGAAGGAAAAAACTAACCTAGTTGTAGCACAGTCCCCATTTGCCATCTTGTTTGAAATCAAACGTGGTCGAGCACCATTTCAACGTGTAGCCGTCCATTGTACAGTCGTGGTACAGTTTACGGTTGTACCGGAATGGAAAAACACAGCAATTTCCAGCTGAATTCCCACCATGGGTGTCCACACCGCTGTCACAATCCTCTACGAAACACAGCAGGAAAAAAATAATTCATCCTATCTTAAATTGAGAAGTACAGACTCTCTGCTGCACTCTGCGTAAATCACGTATCATATGGCATCGTAAATATGTTGTATGTTCTATGAAAGTTCACGTGCTAGAAATTTATCAGAATTTCCAATATCGAGACATGTCGACCGACATCTGTATCATTTTAAAGCAATGTAAACTGTGAACGACTCACCGATTTTGCACTTGCTTGTGACGATATAATTTCCATAGTCATAAACGGAACACTTCGCCACGTTGTTCCTGAAATCTGATTCAGCCACTTGGTTGCCGGGGTTCAGATGTACTCTCAAATAAAATGATCCGTGTTGGAAGTCCGAGCAGTCCACCCACTGGCAGTCAATTTTCCAGTTGTAAATGTCGTAACAGCCCGGAGAAATCCCCTGACCGCCCTCTTCAGAACAGTTAAATTTCTTGTCATAGCCTGGATCGCACATTGTGTCCTCGAGGCAGAAGCTAGCCTTGTGGCCTTGAGCAACTTTCTCTCCTGAATCCTTATCTTAATGAGATTAAAAATATATTAACTTTAATGCTCAACAGGAAGTACAATTCTTTTAAAATACCTCATTGCAAGAAATCACTGACGGCTGTATTCCAAAATTGAAATTCAGAAAACAAACATCATGGAAGAAAAATTAAACTGTTTGGATTTTAACCTTCGTTCTTATAGTGTCAGATATGGCTTGAGACCAATCAAATTGTTGGATTTCAAAACCTAAGGGAACTATCCAAAAAACCCTTAAGCTCTCACGAGTAACCATTTCGTCCTTACAGAATCCAACAGACAAGTAATGAGAAGAGAGAAAAATATCAATTAACGGGGTGATTAGTTGATCCAAATTCTCCAAATTAGCATCATAAGAATTGTATGGCAGACAGTAAGGAGAATTACCATTAAGATCCTGGGAGATAATGGATTAAACTTACCGATGAGATCATAAGTGGTGAAGGTCTCCATAGAGTGGTAATGCTTATGACACTTATGCCACTGCCACTCAGACTTGGGAAAATTCGGTCTGAAATCCGCCAATCCTTGATTTTCAATTTTGACACTGAATCTCAAAAGACGCCTTGAATGGTATCCTGGATTTCTGAAATTCGAGTAGAACAAATGGAATCTCGATCTGTTCATCTTTAAATCTGAGTGGAAGAGGGAACTTCATTTAGTTGAGACACAAATGAAATGAATTCTCTATCAGGTAGCAAGTTTACTCTGAGACAGGTCGTCTACCTTGGAACCAAGGTAAACTTTAACTCGTAGTTCGACCTGAATTAAGGACGAATCACTTGACGTCTAATTTGTTCTCATTTTCAGTAGGAAAGGAAAGCTTAACATACCACTTACGCGTAGCGTCAACAAAGACCTCCTTGTAAGTATTCATGGAACAAATTTAAAGCGGTTGCCACTGCAGTTTATTGGTAGAAGTAGATGTAACTTCAGTGTGACCTCTCACTTTGTCATCAGTTTGATCGACTAGGTAGGTTTAGAATAATGTAGAAGCGACCAAGACGTTCCCGCTGTTAAAAGCCATTAGCCCATACCTTTTTGAGACGCGGACGGCAGCCAGAAGTTTAAAGGTCTCGCTCCTGATGCTCACTACACCTTTTTTGGTCAGCAAAGTTTGGTTTAAATGCTAAAACGACCTCACCGTCGATACATGAGCGTCAAAGCGCATCGGAATTAGTTTTATTCGTCTCCCAGTTTAGTCCGCGTCTCAAAATCGTTCGGGCTCTGCTTAAGTTCTCTAATGTCTTCGCTATCAGTGCCATTTCAGAGGGAAAACGCTTTTAAAGCCGTTCCAATCTTATGTAATTGTCTTCTGATCTCTCTTGTTTGAAAGCACGCAATGTTGAGACCGCCAATAACTTTTTGGTTTGTTTGTTTTCTGTTTGTTTTGTTTTCTCTTTTGATTTGTTAAACTAGGTTTAATTTTTACCGGATGTAATTAGCAGAGTCTGAAAGGCAGTTCTCTTCTAGAGAGCACCTCAAGTATTCCATAGGAATACTCTGCATCTTCATGTCTTTTCGTAGCAATTCCACATCAGGCACTATATCAGGAAGAGCTGTGGAAGAAAATGGAAAAAGGTTCTCGGTGCATAAACATCTGCTTGTCGGATCATGAAAACTAGCCAGGCAGAATTTAAAATGGCATCAACACCGCAGTAGCCTTTTTTAAAACCTTAATCTTATTTGTTGAAGGCATTCTTTGGCTTTGTCCATCATATTCTTTTAACTCTGTATTAAGGTTTCCGTGGTTTGGTGAGGAGGTTGTGTCAAAATACAAATTTTATTAAATATTGATCCCTTCCGCGCGTGTTTTGGGGGAAACCAGCTGCAGAGCGCACCGTGCTTAGTCTTTCAGTCTTCTTTAGTCTTCGTTCTCTGATAAATTCTACCTACTGCACAATTAATTTCTATTACTTCTTCCCCCTTCAACCACTCTTGACTCTGACTGACTAATCGGTTCTTGCTTACTCTGAGTTACTCTGGTCGACCGACTCTTACTCTGACTGACATTGATTACGAACTCTGTAGTACACGCTTTTATATTCACTATAGGCAGGCATGAGTAGGTGTGCGGGCCCACTGACCTTCGAAGATTAAACATTCGTTATCAGAACAATAACCCTTTCACAAGAAGCTTACAAATGTAAAATCGACTCAATTTAATATCCAATCAAACAAGTAATCTTTGACTGCCAAGGCCAAAACAAAAACTTTTATGTGGGTCCAAGGTAGAGTCAGTGGACAAACTGTGCAAGTCAACTAATGGAAGTTAGACGAGACAATCACCATAGGAAACTCAACGCGATAGCTAAAACCCAAATATCTTCGAACTTTGAATTCAAATCGTGTTAACTACAAGCAAATCACTAAAATGTAAGTAACCCCTTAAATATTACACAATATTAAATTAGTCACGCCTTACCGTCAACACAAACGACGCCAGCTACCTTGCCTTTGCTGCTGCATTTGGTGTTCGCGAACTCGTCATGCTCGCAGTTGTAAATGGATATCGCGTCCACTCGACATTGAACTCCAGATAAAATGGCTGGAAGAACTTCTCCCCCAAAGTTACCTTCGATAACAGCTTGGCTAGCAAATCCGAGATTCAACTGTCGGCAAACTGTCATGGCTTCCTCTATTCCCCATCCATCAGCACAAACGGTTCCCCATTTGCCATCATGGAAGACTTCAACGCGACCCTTGGAAATGCTACCACCACCACTAAGCCTGATCTGTTAAAAGAGAGGAGCATTTCAGGCCTCATTAGGATGAAAAATTAGTTATGACAGCCAAAGAGCTTCGCTTGTCATTTTATCTTAAGGTATATGAAAAAAATCAAAGAAATTAAAAGTGACATCGAATAGCCAACGAATTTAAAACTTCCAAAATAACATTAAAACAATGAGTGAAGCCAAAAGAAATAGGCCGGATGGTGACAATGCAACCATCAATGAAATCCTAAGAGCTAAAGTGGATCCTCGTCTATAAGTATTAGTTCATTTCCGTATTTTCATTGGATAACAATAGCGGTGTATTCGAAGTCGTTATTTCCTCGTTTTATAAATTGTTGTATTTTTACATAAATTAGGGAATTGTAATGATGGCCTCTTTTAAGGGCTGATGTTTGAGTAAAGTTTAATAACTAGTGGTAATTTTATTTAAGGGAGTTGCTTAAAAGCTGCCTTTTAGTAAGTAAAACGAAGTTCCACTCAGTGGTGCGGGAATTATTTACCTGGTGACCTTGAAGCTCTGGGGCGTGGCATTTGACGCCCGCATCTTCATAATGATCACAATTTGTTTTGTACCAGTCATGGTGACGACACTGGGTTATACTACGCTCGCTTCCTTCGCAGCGAACATTATCGAGCATGATCTGTAACAAAAAACACCGTACACATCATAAAAAATATTTTTTTCCTGAAAATTGGCCTGTAAATGATCCCTCCTGAAATAGAATATTTCATGGAAATCAGGTAGGATGCAGAAGGAGCCGTTGAGATTTACTTGTTTTGGTGTCGTTGTTGTTACTACTGTTGCTACTGTTGTTTATGTTTACGAGAAATTCATTCCTTTTGACGATTTCCTCTGTAACAACCATAGCGACCTCAAGCATCAGGAACAATTCAGTTTACTCTAAGATTCACTCTCTCGCGTTTAATCTCGTGCCCAGTCATGGTATTGTTGTTTGGGGACAAACATTCACTCCAATAGTACTCTTACTCTCGCCAAGGAGTGTAACTGCAACGAAATCTGAGCGAAACGCTGAAGGATCCAGAGAGTGGCCTGCAATGGACCGACAATCCACTTAAACAAAAACTGATGCTTATCGTCTCTTTGTGCTCATAACAGCGGGAGAAACGATGGCAAGTTAAAACTCCTCGGCTCCGTTGCAAACATTTCCTTTTTATCCAAGAGTGTAATTCTCAAAACTATCACATGTGATTTACAGAGTCAGTTATTATAATAGTTAAATTCAACTACTCACCTTTCCCACACCCTTGCCATAATGTGCTGCCTTCGTTGCTGCTGCCGCAGAACCGAATCCCAATGACCTGCAGACAATATTTGCTTCCTTAAGTGTCCAATGATCATCACATACAGTTCCCCAAGACCCTTTGTACTTGATCTCTACGCGCCCCTCGGACATCTGGGCACCACTTCGAAGGCGAATGGAGTGTGGCTTGACGAGAAAAATACATTATGACCTCACTTTAAACAAATGAAGGTTGACATTGCATAAGGCTCTCCAATTACAGACTTTTCTTGAGACCCTTCCATACCCAAATAATACCAAGCTGGAGATTTTCATACATAATGCTTAAAGCTAGGTCTTTGTCCATGGAGCACACACTCGACTGCGTAATCTTGTTCACAGACTCTCTCTCCTTCCAACTCATTAGCGAGGGGAGAGGATGAGACACCCTGTAAAATTGAGGCTGACTATTCGAGCTTTTGATTTGAAAATCAACATAATTGGCTTAGTAATTATGGCCTGACCTTCTACTATAAAGTGTTGTGATCAACTAACCTTATCTTCTCGTCTCCTGGTACATTCAATCCTCACTGCCCCTCCCTCCTCACACTGCTTAGGTCCCCACCCTGAATGGTCACAAGACACAATCGATGACTCCCATCCTCTGCACGTCACCTGGTCCAGCCAATAGACGGGCTCCAAATCTTGGATGGTTTTCGTATGGGACTCGAGTTCCTCAGCGTCAGGAAATCCAAGCTGGCCGCACAGCACGTGCGAGTTAAATTGAGTCCATTGAGAAGGACAAATATAACCCCACGTTCCCTCGTGCTCTACTTGGACGACACCTTCTGATATGTAATCATCAACAACTGGGCCTTGTAACCTGACTTTCAAGCTCAAAACCTGCGATGGACATGATGAGTTGTTACTCGAGTACATAGAGAAATGACTGTAACTTTAATTACTGTTAACAGTGAACAGTTTGTAAGTGCTCATAGGCATATTTGTTTTTCTTTCTAACACAAACCCTAGGAGTGATCGATTAGCATCTAATCTTCCCTAACAATGTCACCCCCGAATCACACATTAAGGTCACGAGAAAATAGGAAATGATTACCAACTAAGGAAGCTCTTGATTGCTTGTTAAGGCGTGGAGGGTGAAAATCACACGACCAAAAGCACTTTGTTATTCAGAGCCGATCGATTTAGAATCTCGGTCCATATATGTGATTATTTCTTACCTTATTTATGGATTTTGGTGGCTCCGCAAAAGTCACGCTGTCAGTCAAATCCAGTTTACAAACTACACCTGCCTGGTTATATCTACGGCAGTTGTGTTTCCCCCATTCCCTGTGCCAACACTGCTCGATAGATTCTTCATCTCCTCGACATCTGACATCGTCTAACCAGTAGTTGTAAGTTATTTGGCCAAATCTGTCTTGTCTTAAAAATGGAAGTGAATAAATGAGACACTTTCAGAGAGAGACGTTTCAGATCAAGCAACCTATGTAAGGTATTTGATAAATGCATTCGGTAATTCGTGCCAGTGATAATTATTTTGTTCGCTGGTTAATATTCCATGGATTCCATCAGCTTTGATTGTCATGCTTCAAGAATATGACTTCTCTTAACTGGTGCCCCACTGCATAGGCTTGACAAAAAATAATGAGAGGCGCTAGATTTAAAAAATTGATAATGCTCTCTACAATCCTGTTGATAAGAAGACATTTTGTAAGGCGCGAAATTTTGTAAGGCGCTGTTTTATTGAGCAGGAAAGCACAGTTCTTTGTAGAATTGTATTTAGAAATTACTGAGAGCGAACAAGGGCAGCTTACATGCGAAAAAGCATGCTTCATTCCTGTATCGCTGCCCTTGCCTTCAAAACAACAAAATATAGCGAACATACAAAGAGCTGTTCATTTATCTGGTTTCTGAGCTCGAAACACACCCGCTCTTTTACAACAAATGATTGAAAAATATGAAAGCGAAAAAAATTCTTCCTACAACTGTTTTGTTAAAAACAAATTTAACAGAAACCCAATTCCGGCATATACATATCCCTGGCGAGTTTACAAAGGAAGAGAAAGACAAACTTCTTCCAGTGGACTCCTTGCGGGGGAGGATGAAAGCATCGTACTTCCGAGCTCTAGCATATCTAACTAAGAACGGAATTTTCGAGTAACGGTT